GAGGAGTCCTCTGGGAACGAGCCGGGGGTGGAGCCGCGCGCCGGAGGCCGAGCGGGGCGGAACCCGGGCGGAGATGGGGCGGGGCTGGCCGAGGAGCGTCTGGGTTCTCAGTGCCCTCTGCCTGAGGATGAGGGTGGGTGCTTGGATCGCGTGGGCACGGGGGCCGTGGCACCGACTGGGCGGCGGCGACCAGAGCGAGGAGGACAGGTGAGGCTCCCCCACCTCCTGGAAGCCCCGAATAGCTGGGTCCCTGAGGACCTGGACGGCTTTACCCTCCACAGCTGCAGGGACCTGGCCCGAGTATCGTGGCTGTGGCGGACTCGGGTAGGCTTTTGCGCCCTCCCGCCCCACTGCCTTTGTGAAAAAAGCCGGCCCGGGCATTTCCGCCGTCCTATCTGGGGAGCCTTACATTTCAGCCTACGATTTTGCTCTTTGTGAGACCGGTCTCTGGATTCCAGATGGGGATGGCGGAAAACGGCCGCTTCAGGCCAGGCCAGGGACAGGGTCTGGAAGCGCAAGCCTGTGGTCCCCGGCGGGTGCGCGATCCCCGCCTGCGGCTGCAGGCGGCGCCAGAGCGCTGCGCCCCGGAGTATGAGGTCTGGGCGGGGCCTGGAACTCAAGACCCGCCCCGAACGAATAACTGGGATTGTGCGAGCCGGCAAGCGAGCACCCACACGCATGCGCGCGGCTGGAGTCCTGGCGGTGCTGAGCACGTGCGCCCGCCCTCTCGGGTATTGCTTAACGGGGAGGCTTCTCCGCTCTTATTCCCACGCAGCCAGCCCAGAGCAGGACATTCCAGTGTATTCTGTCCCACCGGCCTGGCAGAGGGACGCGAGTCACCCAGTGTCCCCTTGCCCTGATCCTTACAGGGGCCTTGGCACCTGATCCGTACAGGGCTCCACACCACCTCGTCCGCTTGTTTGGGAGGCCTGCGATGCCACAGGGTAAGATCATGTCAGTAAAGCACGCAACCCTTGGAATGCCAGGAGACACAGCCCTTTCAGTACTGCCTGGTTTTCCATCACCTATTGCTTTGTCAAATCATTTTTTTTTTAAATTTGTCGTTTGACTTTTGGAAACATTTGCTTTCTTATGTGGTCAGAACAAAGAAACAGCCATTCCCTCCTTCCTATGAAGTTCGAGAAGGGCCTTTCTGCCACCCTGAGATGAAGAGCAAATCTCCCAGCAGCCTGTCCTTCTTCCCACCCCTCCTCACTCTGCACACAAATTCTACAGGACCCTTCCGCCACCCTGGGTTCTCTGCCTCTTCCACCAATTTTGAAATTCAGTGTGGCCACCTAACATGCTTGACCTAGGAAATGTGAGCACCGGTGACCAGGGTGGCTTTCCAGACCATTTCAGGGGCTAGTGTCTGTCTGGCCATACATAAGGATGGGATAGCTGTGCCCTGAGTCCATAGGCCAGACGCAGGACTCATCTGCTAGAACCTGCTGAGGAGCTCTGAAATTAAGTTGATGCATAGCCTCCTTCATGGTAGGAAATGAGAAATGGATTATCCGTCTGCGGTGCCATCAGTGTCACCCCTAATGGGACATAGTTCTCTCACAGTTCTGGAGGCCAGAAGTTTGAAATCAGGTATGTACAGTGGTGGTTTTTTTTTTTTTTTTTTCTGGAGGTCCTGAGAGAATCCATTCCATACCTCTCTCCTAGCTTCTGGTAGTTTCCAATAATCCTAGGCATTCCTCCTCTTGCAGATAGATGCCTCTTTTATCACACTACATTTTCCTCTGTGTGTCCTCCCCTTTTTTTCCATTATGAGAACACTTGCCATTGGATAGAAGACCTCTAGTCCAGGATATCACCCTCACCCATCCTGAGAGCCTTAATTATCTCTTTCCAAATAAGGCCACATCCACAGATCCTGTGTGGCCATACCTTTGGCCAGGAAGGGCGACCATTCAGCCCTTTGTCTTACAAAACCCATGGCCATCCCATCTACAGAATATATTCACCACATCCAAATGTCCCTCAAAGTTTCAATCATTAGACCATAAATTCTAGGTCCAAGATTTCATCTAAATATTTTCAGCTCAAAAGTCTGAAGTTTCATCATCTAAATCAACTTGGAGGGAGACTCAGTATGAGCCGTCCTGAGACACACTTCCCTTCTGTCTTTGAACCTTTGAAACTAGAAAACAAGTCATCTACTTCCAAACTACAATCGTGAACTAGACATTGATTGTCTCATTCTAAAAGGGAAAAAATTGGAACAAATAAATAAATGACCAGTCCTAAGTTAAAATCCACCAGGGCAAATTCCATTTGTTTTCAGGGTCTGACAAGACTTTTCTATGGCTCAGTGTTCCACTCTCTGGCCCCACAGAAGCCCCACTAGACTCTAAACCGCACTCAGAGTCTTCCCTTTTCCTTGAGGAGGCTGCACAAATTTGCAACTGAGTGGTTCTATCAGACCATTTTCTACTTCTCTTTCACTTTGTCCTGAATCTGTCCCTTTCAATCCAGTTGGCAGTATTTCTGCTGACACAACATTCTCAACAAATCTTGTGAGTCTCCTGTATGTGCCAGAGGGATATATTAGACAAGCGCATCCTCTACAGATCTTTCCTGGATAACCCTATCTCTATTCCTGACTTCTGCTGAAGTACTTGAGTGCATTGACGAATCACATGCCTCATCTCTTCAGCAAAAGTTTGTCCAGTCACATCCCTGGTCCTCTGCGCTTTTCAATAGTGAAGTTCTAATTTTAGTATCCCAGGGAGGTCAAGAATCTCCCAAATAAAGTGCTATTTCAGTTTTGCTTAATAGATCCTTCTTTCATTTATCTTTCTGCTCACATTTTTATCATAAGCAGCAAGAAGACACCAGCCTGCACCTTTTACCCTTTGCTTGGAAAGCCCCTTAGCTGAATGCTCACATTCTGTTTTGCACTCAACAGGACACAATGCAGTCGAGGTTTTTGCCACTTCATACCAGGTACAATTTTTCCTGCAGTTTCTAATCACAAATCCCTCATTTCCATCTGAGCCCTCACCAGACACACATTTAGTTATTTTAAAAGCAATTTTATATGTAAAGCATAAATATTTAATGTTTTCGATATTAAGCGAAAAGCATCTTATATTAAAGAACTATTTAATTTCATTTAATATTACTATTATTTTTAATTTGACCATAGAGATACAGAGAGAGCAAGAATCAGAGAGAGAAAAAGAGACCAAGGGGAAAGCAAGACACCAGGTCTGAGACTCAGACCTCAGTCGGCCATGTGGGAATCCAGCACCTTAACCACCATACTAACCTGCCAGCCCCAGACACACATTTAAAGTTCATATTTCTACTAAACTTCTCTTCCAGACCTTTGAACTGATTGGATGTGGCCTGCCCATATTACCAGGGATTGCCTGCTTTGCTTTACTTAAAGACAACTTATTGTAGATGTTAACCTTACCTGCAAAATGCCTTCACAGCCACATCTTGATTAGTGTTTGATTAAATAACTCCTAGGTGAGTTGACACACAAAAATAACCATTATGTTTATGTTAAAGGAATAACATGGATGTGGAAGTCCCTGTGACCCCCTCCTCCATTGCTCCCCTTAAGCAATAGGGAAGGAGGAAGACATTGTGATTCAGATGGGAGCATTTGGGCAGCCATGGATAGGTTGAAAACTCTGAACCCCCAAATCTCTCTCACTGCAGAAGCAGCCTTGAAGGAATAAACCCTTTGATAAAACTGTTTAATAATTGAACCTGAGGTAGGTGCCTTTTCGTCTCATAACAGTTCTTTTTCGTATCTATCCTCAGCGCCTTTCATTACCTCTAGGTCCGTAAGAGAGTCAGTCAGTCAGATGGTAACAGAGCATGAACAGATGAATACACTCTGGGAGAAAAGAGCCTTTATGTAGGAAAGAGAACAGACCTCACGTATTCATATCCAGTCGATTCTGGAGGTGTTGGCCCAAGAAGAAGGCTAAATCTATTGTCATGTACACACACTAGAGTTAAATATATTAATGTAGTGTTAATCATCAACCGAATTGGTTAAAGGAGGGCTGGACTTAATGGAAGGCAGCAGTTTGAGGTTGAAATGCTAGAATTTCCTTGGAATACTGCAGAGCCCTGCTCCTCGTTGTGTCATCCAAGTGCCAACAGTGGCCCCTAGGAACTCGTTACAAATATAGACTCTTAGGCTAATAGATGGCGTGGAGGTTAATTAAGGTGGTTGGATCCCACTTGACCAACTATGTAGTTTGAGTTCCAGACCCTGTGGTCTGAAACTCATGCCAGGTACATATGTGTACATGCCTAAAATCCCGAGAGGAGAATGTAGGGGAAGGGATTGTGGCATTGCCATCAACCCCTCCTCCTGGTGGGGATACTTTCTCACTTTCCCTCTCTTGCCAGCAAGTGCTCCTGCCCTACAACAACAACAACAAAAGGAGAAGGAGAAAAAAGAAATACAGATTTTCAGGCCACACCCTGGACCTGCTCAGCTATAATAGGCAATTTTTTAAATCCCCAGATGATTATCTATACATTGAATTTTGAGAAGCATACGTAAAGGAGGAGAGTTAAGGTCAGAGAGTCAGGAATGGGGGATAGATAAACTCCACTGCTGCCCTCTCTCCCAGGGTGAGGACATCCTCTCCACTCCATTCCT